TGTGGGCTTCGGAGCCTGTTGCTGTCCTGGATGGTTGTTGGAGATTTCTCTGCTCTCTACGTTGATGTGGGCTTCGGAGCCTGTTGCTGTCCTGGATGGTTGTTGGAGATTTCTCTGCTCTCTACGTTGATGTGGGCTTCGGAGCCTGTTGCTGTCCTGGATGGTTGTTGGAGATTTCTCTGCTTTCTACGTTGATGTGGGGTTTTGAAGTCTGTTGCTGTCCTGGACATTTGTTGGAGAGTTCTCTGCTCTCTACGTTACGTTGGTGTGGGTTTTGGAGCCTGTTGCTGTCCTGGACAGTTCTTGGAGAGTTCTCTGCTCTCTACGTTACGTTGGTGTGGGTTTTGGAGCCTGTTGCTGTCCTGGACAGTTGTTGGAGAGTAACTCTGCAGCAGATTAGGTCGGTAGGTTGGTTTTGGAGCTTGTTGCTGTCCTGGATAGTTGTTGGAGATTTCTCTGCTCTCTACGTTGATGTGGGGCTTCGGAGCCTGTTGCTGTCCTGGACGGTTGTTGGAGAGTTCTCTGCTCTCTACGTTACGTTGGTGTGGGTTTTGGAGCCTGTTGCTGTCCTAGACAGTTGTTGGAGAGTTCTCTGCTCTCTACGTTACGTTGGTGTGGGTTTTGGAGCTTGTTGCTGTCCTGGACAGTTGTTGGAGAGTAACTCTGCAGCAGATTAGGTCGGTATGTTGGTTTTGGAGCTTGTTGCTGTCCTGAGTGCTTGTTGGAGGGATTTTGCTCCGAATTTGGTTGGGGTTATGATTTCTGAGCCGTGACTGTCCTGAACGTTCTTTTGTAAGTTTCTGTTACTATGGGGATTATTGGGAATTTTGTAATTCGAAATTTTCTAACCTTTCTCTACATTTTTTAATAATTTCTCTATATGTATATTTATCTGTAAAAAGAACGACCACATGTTACTCCAGCCATAATCTACTCGCGACAACATTGCACTGTCGAGTGGCCAGGAAAGATGTTAATTCTATAATCAACACACAAAAATTGATCTTCTCATAACTTCACTCAGTAATGGCGCTACGGCATGCTACCCAATTAACACATGCACAGCGTTTTTGTGAAGTGAGATTAAACTTTAGAGCAAAGGTTTTTAGTTAAGACAAATGTCTTCTGGAGAATAATTTATGACATGAAATCATTACTGAGGCCAAAATTCAGAGTCTCGAAATCGAAAAATTAGTTGAAGCAGTTTCTATTACTGAAAGAAAATACAAGTCTTAACGCTAAATACTTAAAAAGTGCGACTCCTTGATTCCAAGACTCATTAGTTGTATTTCTGCTAATTTCAGGAGTTTTTGTATCACGGATGAAAGATCACGAGACGCAGAAACTTCTCTCAGGATTGACCGATATTGGAGACGAAATTCTAGAGATAGATGGCGTTTGTGTGAAAGAAAAAGACATCATGGAAGTTAATAGTTTGATGGCCAAAAAGAGCACCATATTGTTGACAATCATGCCATATTCAAGTCGTCAGGATATCCAGTAAAAAGAATTACCACACTGACACATCGCTTTCATTTAATCGCGCCATCTGTTGGCAACTTGTACTATATATGTAAATAATCATTTTGTGTATGCAGCTTTGCACATGAAATATCGTCATTTTATTATATTCTTTACTTGTAATGTTTTAATACTTAGATTGGTCTTGGTAAATATTTTATACATTAAAGACGTAAAACAAATTTCCATCACTCGTCATGATATATTTACATTAAAATAATTATTTTCAAATCAAATAAAACTTATTTCTAAAACTCTTATCTTTTTTATTCTTTTACTAAGTAGCCCATGAGTGCCTAGTGTCAGCTTACGCTGGAATTATAAGAAAAGAGTTTACCTGATAGTTTTAAGATGAAAGAAACAAAACTACTACTTTGGTAAATAATGACTAAGAAGTATCATTTTTGAGTTTAATGTAATGCGAGGAATTTTGTTGTCATATTTATCAGTTTCAAATTTATGGAAAGAAAAGAAAAAAATTAAATTTATTAGGCTTAACGTTCACGTATAGGCAGGTAATTGTAAAAACAAATTTAAAAGTATAATGTTAACGTGAATTAGTTGTTTGTTGATAATATTGATAGTAATTTTTTTTATACATAAGGTAGTGAATATCATCTGTATAAACAACAAACATTAATTCTAAATAATTTTATAACTATAAGTCTTTTTTTTTCATGAGATATGAGGAAGCCTTCTATTCACTGAAGAATAAACAACATTTTCTATATTAGGCTTAACGTTGATGTTTAAGCAGTGACGTAACCTGTTTTTCCACGGGTGGGGGGGGGACAGGAAATTTTAAGGGAGCAATAAATTAAAAAGCTGAAATTGATCCAAATTTTTAATAAAATGGTTATTAAAACAAATAAAATGTATTGGTGTTTATAGACTTCTTTTATGATCCATATGCCTAGATTTTTCAAGGGGAAGCGTTTAACCAGGTGATTATAAAACTAAACATATTAAAAATCATTGTATGCTAAGATATCACTCGTTATGATATATCTACATTGGAATAATGATTTGTAATTATGTCAGTTCTACTGTCAACACAAAAATAGTCTTTCTCAGAAATTCCTTCAAATATGGCGCCACGGGTAGCACCAGTAGCGGAATGCTACTTCAGTGACACCTGTAAGACCTCCTAAAGAACAATGCATGAAAATAAATAACTGATAACAAAATTCGGAGTTAAAAAAAACGAAAAATTAGTTGAAGCAGTACAAAAAATTTTAGATAAAAATATATACTCAAAATTGTTGCTGCAATTTGGAAAGTAATTAAAAGGTGTTACTTTTGTGTACTATGAAATCAACTAATTTCTGTTACTTTCTATAAGTTAATAAATCTGTATGTATTTTGCGTTTTATAGCAAAGCTATCTTCCGTCGTTCCTAATTTTAAGACCCGGCATGGCCAGATGGTTAGGGCGTTTAACTTGCAATCTGAGGATAGCGGGTTCGAATCCCGTTCCACCAAACATCTTCGCCCATTCAGCCATGGGGCGTTAAAATGTGTACAGTCAATCCCACTATTCGTTGGTAAAAGAGTAGCCCAAGAGTTGGCGGTGGGTGGTGATGAATAGCTGTCTTCCCTCTAGTCTTTCACTGCTAAATTAAGGACAGCTAGCGCCCTCGTGTAGCTTTGCGCGAAATTCAAACCAAATAAACCCTAATTTTGAACAACGGACAAAAGGAAAAGCAGAATCTATTTTGGATTTTTTTTTTTTATCTAAAGACAGAAGCGCTAGAAATAATGTGGGTACAATCCCTCGCGTTGAACAGTGCAAAGATAGCCCATTTTGTGGCTTAGCGCTGAAACAAACAAATAAGCTTATTTTAAGACTGCCTCAATTTGCCTTCCCTCCAGCCCAATCCTAAATGCCCCCCCAGTGGCACAGCGGAATGTCTGTGGATTTACAACGCTATAATCCGGGTTTCGATACCCGTGGTGGACAGAGCACAGATAGCCCATTGTGTAGCTTTGTTCTTAATTACAAACAAACAGCCCCAAATAATAGCCTTGAGAATATTTAAAGTGTTACCTTCCAAAACACAACCCCCCTCCTCATCCGGCCATAGGGATCTGGTACATTTGTTCTTTTTTCTGGAAATTAAACACTGCAATTAACTGAAATGATCCCTTACGTCGATTATCATTAAATGTATTTTAGAAATAAGGTTTGGTTGTTTGTTTATTTGCGCAAAGCTACACGAGGACTATCTGCGCTAGCCGTCCCTAATTTAGCAGTGTATGATTAGAGGGAAAGCAGCTAGTCATCACCACCCACCACCAACTCTTGTGCTACACTTACCGACGAATAGTGGGATTGAGCGTCACATTATAATGCCCCCACGGCTAAAAGGGCCAGCATGTTTGGTATAACGGAGATTCGAACCCGCGACGCACAGATTGCGAGTGGAGCACCCTAACCACCTGGCAGGGCCTTAGAAATAAGGACTGAAATTGTATGAAAGCCAACAAGACAATTAAACTTACTATTACTCCGTCCACTACTATATGGAAACGTGTTTTTTATATTTTATATATAACTATGGTGTGTTTTTTGTAATGATAAGATTTTGTGTGTTAAAACAGTATATGTTAGATGCTATTTGATGTATTGGACAAAGTGGGGCATAAAATGTAATAAAAATAATTAAATAAATGGAATAAAATCAAGTAATTAATTTGTGTCTTAATATGTTGTTTCAGTAACGTTAAGTACAATGCAAGTAACAGACTTTACTTCACTGTTAAGTATTTTTTCAATGTAAAACCGTATAAACAAATTTACGTGCAGTTAGTATCACACGCATTGTTCTAGCCGCAACTTAATATTTTACCAACAGTATATCACCACAGCGAGTGAAGGAAACCTTCATCACTTTTTACTTAATGAATAAATAAGTTATTGTACTTTTGTAATATTCACTTCTTTACTTAACTCAGGTAACTTTTTTAAGATCCAAAAAATAAATAAACATTTCTTTCGTTTACCATACGAAAATATTGTTTTTTAAGAGAAGGATTGAACTTCTTATGCAACGTCAGCGCCACCATTAAATCCGCAGAGCTTCGGCATTTTAATAGGACCTGTTCATTGAAATTATTTTCATATTATGCTGTGCATTTTTGCGACAGTGGTGCTGTGTGCGGAAGGAAATATTAGGACAAATTATTTTGGTAACTGGTGAATGTATATATATATATATATATATTACTGCAACAACTATTTCAACGGTATTTGGCTGTTATGATAACAATATTTTAACAAGTGCACGTGGAATTGTAACAATAACTTACAAGCCAACATTCTGGGATTTTATCACGATAAATTGTCAACCTAAGCCTAATGTTGTTTCCGGTAGCCCTGCTAACGCTAATTGTGATCGAGGTCCTAACTTTTTTAATGAGGAAAATATAGTCCGATCTACCCTTTTTTAAACCTATAATTATAAACGTTTTTGTTTGTTTTACGTGTGTAATTTTTATAATGCAACGAAACAAATTCGAATAGAAAGAATCAAAACATAAGACATAGCATAGTGTTCTAACGTTTCTCTCTCTCATTGGGTGGGTTCTTTTAAGTTATTTGGTTCAGGTCACGTAATAATAAAAATTAGTTTATTTTTTCCTTAACGATTTTGCAAGTTGCCTTCTTATATACTGTTGTAACTCAAAGGCCTAAGGAAACAGTACGCTAATTGTACTACGAGTAATGTGGAAAGAAACTTGCTTGTACAATTTCAAGGCTGATAGATCAAGCAACTGAATATATGCGATAGCTAACGCTGATCCAAATATTTGACTGAAATAATCTGACTGACTCAATGTTTTATCAATCGTAAGCAAAACACACGCACACTGACTCAATACATCGCTGATTCTCTTATTTATAATCTACTCTCGCTTCTCAATACTTCCCAAATTTACTAGATTTTCTTGACATGAAACTTAAACTTACTTGATGTTAATATCATTCACCCGCTAGCTAACACCCGAATTCAAACATTGAATATATAGCTTATAACAATAGAATCGGCGACGTGCGCCAAAGTTTTGTCTAAGATCGATACTTGTTTATCTTACATGCATGTGAGCCTGGTATACCTTTTTTTTTTTTGTACTTGCAAATAACTATCCGAGTAATAATGGCTGGAGACGGCTTGAGTGGGTAATGAAGAAAAACTTTAATATAAGTTTAACATAACAGTAAATGTACAACGTTTCGACAAGGTTTTGTCATCATCAGGTACTATCCGAGTAAGCTTACCGGAAGTCACCACCGCGATTGCGGGACATGCGCACTTGTAATTCTGAACTGATTTATTAGCTTGGTATACTAATATTAATGAATAAATATTACCCAAAAAGCCATTTTTTTACTGTTGAGATAACCAAAAATTATGTATATGATTGAATGCAGACCAGTATCTGGTATTTATACATTTGTAAAATAAGCGAAACATTGTGAAAAACCAAGATTAAAAATGTAGATGACAGCACTTGTCAGAGAAGTCTATATTTCTCGCTCAACTAAACTGTAACGTAATCTCAAAGTTATTAAACAAACATGAAAAATTGTACGAGATGGAGATTCAGAAGTAGAGAAGAAACTTCAAATTCGATGTTGTGGTACAGTAAAGTATTAAGACGTACAACATGTAGAAAACAGACTTTAACAATAAGTAGTTTACCAGACAGTATTCTTCTTCATCTCTTCTCTTTTTTGACTTTCTTGGAACTGTGCAAGATCTCCAGGTTTATCAATATCATTAATATCATCAACTTAAACAACATACATATATAACTCGGAGTTATAGGCCTACGTATATTGTTATAAGTTTTTAATTTACCTTTTAACATTTTATACTAACACTTGATTTGTACGTGAAATTTATCGCTATTTCAATTGTCAATTTTTTTTGCATGGGTAGAAGTTTTCAGAAAAATATTTGTAGCTTATAACGAGTCCGTGTAACCTAAACATTTTTGTTTTTATTTACTCTGTACTTTATAGTGGTGTCTGATAAATATATATTTATTTTTTTGTAGAGTTTGTAAAAGGTGGTATATTTTATCAAAAGACTTCAGCCTGCATCGTGTTATTGAGCTTCGAGAATATAGTATCACAATTTCTCAAGTGAAACAGCTAATATATCAACATTTCAACTCATTCTTAGTAGAGCTACATCTGAGAGGTCAGTCCAGATCACTATGGTTGACCCCATTTACCCCAAAGACTTTGGCCAAGCTTCAGAAATTTTCACCAAACTTACGTTGTCTTATTATGGAAGATTGTAATTTTCGATCACTGAAAAGTGAGAAATGTGTCAAACTGCAAGATTTTCCATGTACATTACATCACTTGTCTATCAGAAATTCCATCATCGATCGAAGCGTATTCTTTTGCACAAATAACGTGAAACCTTTTACATTTAATTTAGAAATTTTAGACCTAGGGAGGTGTGTATATCTAGCTGATGGGAACATCGAGCAATGGCCATACTTACCTCAATTGAAAGAACTTTTCTTGGAGGGATGTCCTTTTATTGACAAGCACCTTTTAGAAAGCATAATGGGGCTTCAGAGAACTTTAAATGTGCTTGATATAGAAGGATCGTACGGATTTGAAACAGCTGTATCCATCATTGGAGAAAACACAGTGAATTTAAAAGAACTTTATGTTGGATGCACATTAACTAAAGATTGTAGCTTATTGTTGGTCACCAAAGGAATGTTTAAACACCTGAAAAAGCTCTGTCTTTCTGAAACTCGTGTTACTGATACAGGTCTGGAACACCTCACATCAGTTGTGCTCTCTCTGACATGGTTGAAATTGGATATGACTCGAGTGAGTAACCAGTGCATCAAAAACATGAAGGGTCTTCTTCCTGATATTGTTGTTATAAAGAATACAAATGTGACGGTTTTCAGAGTTTTCAGAAATGAAGGTTGTGCTCATTACCGGAATAAAGTTCACTACCTAATGTAGCCATGGTTTATATGCTGTATCAAGTGGGTGTAACGTAGCCATGGTTTATATACTGTATCAAGTGGGTGTAATGTAGCTCTGGTTTATAAAACTCGGAAATGTTAAAGGTGCTAGTTTTGGACTTTGGCAACACTAAAGTCACAAGCCTGTTTTCATCCCAAGACATCCAATCAACACTAAAGTCTCAAGCCTGTTTTCATCCCAAGACATCCCACATGGGGTCTTGCTATGGTTAAATAATGTAGAGATAGTTGTCTCATTCAGTGGTTGTAGATACCAAAAGTGAATATCTTACTAAAGAAAGTGACATGCTCATTAACTTTTGTAAAGTAGGATACGAAACTCGGTATTTGAAATAGATCTCTTGAGAAAGAATATTCAACTTGAACCCGTCCCGTGCAAATGTTACTTAGCGGAAGTACGAAGACAAACTGTAACTCCTATATATAATGGAAGAAGTTAAACAAAGGATTACTCGTGGAGATTTTCTGAACTTTTGAAGAGGCACATTTTACTTTTTGTAGGAATTTTGTACAGAATGAGACAAATAAGTAGCTAAGTGTACAAGTATTTCTTCCTAACACTCAGCTAACAACATGGGAAAATACTGAAGCTAAGAGATTGCTTCATGATAGTCTAACAGGTAAGTTAAAACTGTTAATTTGTCCTTTATGGTTGTAGGCATAATGCATGTTTCTAAATTCTTACTCAGTGTTTCTCAATAATGCTGAACCCTTTGTAATTTGGGTCCAAAGGTTAAACTTTAATGGTAATGGTGTGAACATCAGTTTTTAACCTGGTGTTAAACTTTGGCCTGAATGACATTTTGGAACAAGGGAATATTGTCAAATTAACAAATTTAATGCAATGTGTCAAAAGAAAAATAAAAAACTATTAAGTTATCTGTTATATTAAATTCAGTTACTTTAGCAAAAAGAATTTTGGAAAACAGTTAGGTGCTACTAAAATTGTCAGAATGATTATTTGTTCATTAATAAATAAATTAAGAAAATAAGCTGCCTCCACAACATCCGAAGACAACCTATACCAAAGGCCAAAATAAAACAGTCTTAGCTGAAGATGACTCCTACCCTGCCAAAATTTATATTTTTGTCCCCTAGTCCCACTATTCTCACTGTTAAATATAAAAAAAGATGATGCATCAACACTATCAATTCCCTTAACAAGCTTAAACACTTCAATCAGATCCCTTCTAACTCTTATTTTTTTCAAGAGAAAACAATTTGAAAGATTTCAACCTCTCTCTCCGTATGAGAACTCCTCCATCCCAGGCACCATTGTAGTAACCATTCCCAACAATTCAATGCCCAAGACTGAACACAGTGTTCCAAATGTGGCCTAACTAGTGACTTATACAATGAAATTATAACCTCTTTAGACTTGAATTCAATATTTCTGTAGATACAACCTAAAATCCCATTTGCCCTACCACTAGCAACAGCACACAGCTTGGATGGCTTAACAGACTGATCAACTATTACACCAAGATCCCTTTCCTTCATAACACTGTTAAGGTTATTCCCATCCCAATGATACTTATAATTAAAATTATGATAACCCACATGCATTATCTTACATTTATTATAATTAAAACCCATCTGCCATTTATTTGTCCAACTCACTAAATGATCTAAATCCTTTTTTAAATCAGCAGCATCCTCTCCACAGCTAGCAACAACCAAGACCTTAACATCATCTGCAAATTTAAGTAATTTATTGACCATTCCTTCATCTATATCTTTGATGTAAATCAAAAAGAGCAAAGGTCCTAAGAGCCCTGAGGTATTAATCCAGTTTGACTGAACTCCATTTGTAACAACCCTCTGCTTTCTTCTATCCAATTTGCTAACTTATCCCCCACACCTATAGAGCTATTTTTTTGCAAGCCTTCTATGTGGCACCTTGTCAAATGTTTTCTGAAAATCCAGATACACCAAATCTACACTCTTACCCACATCTACATAAGCAGTAACATTTTCAAAGAATGTTGAAAAATCTGTAAGGCAAGATTTTCCCTTAGTGAAACCATGTTGACTATCCAATAAAATTCTAAACCAATAGGTATGAAAATGGAATTCATAATGGTTATGCTTTGATTGGATCAGTTTGTCACTAAAATCAACAGTTGTCAAAATGTCATTAATAAAGCATACCTAACAGTCTATTTAAGGAACATTGTGTTACTATATCTAACAGTTGTTAAAACAGCTGTAATAATGTGAATATTAAAGACTGTTGAGTGATCACTGTCACTATATCTAATAGTTGTAGTAGTTTTTGTGTTGCAACAGAGGGTTGAGTGCATTGAATCGAAATAATTTTAGTGATTCACGTGCCGTTACAGTCCATGTCACCAATTCTAGTCATATGCGTCTTGTCAATAGTCTAGCAGTGTAGTAGCCATTACAAAAGGTTACATTGTAAGATTGTCATTTCCTTAATATATCTAGTGATTGAGTAAGATGATTTCTCAGCACCCGTTTCAACAATCTAATTAACTAGAAATCCATAGGTGATGCATCTGGTGGCTTGACCAGTATGTCTTCTTATGGAATACCATGAATAACCGTTTCATTTTCCAGCTGCTTGAAGTATGTGGTAGCTGAACCGACAAATTGTGGAAGCAACTTGTGTCATTTCTTCAGACAGAAATCCGTCTTGATTAGACTGTGCACTGTTGCTTGGGGAACATAGGTGGCTTTTGCCACTTATCTTTTGTGTTTGTGGATTCTCACCTGTTACGAGATGTTGCACTGCTGTCTATGGAAGTGGTACAATTTGTTGCAGGTCTCTTTCTAGAAGGTCATGGTGCCCCAAGTTGATTCATATTCCTTTTGTTTTCCAATACTATTAAATACAAGGAATATCCCTGCCTTGAAAATACCAAATCCCTGATCTGAACACATCTTTATGTTCTGGATGTAGGAATATTTTCTATCAGAAAATGCTATTAAATACTCTTTCCAACTGCTGTCGGTTTTTGGTTCCATCATATTACCTATGAAATGTAGTTCCATTTTACCACAACTTTATATCCATTGTAGTTGTCACATAAATTGCTGATTTGCACATTCAAAATCATTTTAATATAATTTAATTAACCTTACATATCTAACAGCTGATAATTTGGGAACTTCGGGTGACATTTCTTTGAAGCATTCCTGTATTTATCTTCTGGTGGGGTTATTTTTGAGCTCACTACATAAATATTTGGTTTGTAAAGATGTAAAAGATTGTTCTTGATGATGTTTATATTTGTTCCATATAAAACTGTACACTGCAGACTGTTTGTAACTTCGACAAAAAAACAAAGGTTGAACCACACATTTCCAACTGGTAACTTAAAATGTGGTAGCAGAACTGGCCCTGTGGATAAACTCATACCTCAGTTGTTGTCCAAGGGCACTTCTTTAAATAATCGAATACAGGTGAAAAGCAACTGTCACTTGAATGAATCGAGGCTTGAACTAGCCCTGTGGATAAACTCATACCTCAGTTGTTGTCCATTCTCCAAGAGCAGTACTTTAAATAATCGGATACAGGTGAAAAGCGACTGTCACTTGAATCGAGGCTTGAACTAGCCCTTGGATAAACTCATACCTCAGTTGTTGTCCATTCTCCAAGAGCACTACTTTAAATAATCGGATACAGGTGAAAAGCGACTGTCACTTGAATCGAGGCTTGAACTAGCCCTTGGATAAACTCATACCTCAGTTGTTGTCCAAGGGCACTTCTTTAAATAATCGGATACAGGTGAAAAGC